GCAGACACTTCAGGGAGCACGCCCCCTGCACAGGGTGCAGACACTTCAGGATGCACGCCCCCTGCACAGGGTGCAGACACTTCAGGGAGCACGCCTCCTGCACAGGGTGCAGACATTTCAGGGAGCACGCCTCCTGCACAGGGTGCAGACATTTCAGGGAGCACGCCTCCTGCACAGGGTGCAGACACTTCAGGGAGCATGCCCCCTGCACAGGATGCAGACACTTCAGGGTGCACGCCCCCTGCACAGGGTGCAGACACTTTAGAGAGCATGCCTCCTGCACAGGGTGCAGACACTTCAGGGTGCACGCCCCCTGCACAGGGTGCAGACACTTTAGAGAGCACGCCTCCTGCACAGGGTGCAGACACTTCAGGGTTCAGGTGCACATGCCACATTTTATCTGTTTACTGTCATTAGACACTTGGGTTGTTTCCATCTCTTGAGTATTGTGAAAAATGCTGTGAACATTGGTTATCTCCATTTTTTAAAAAAAAATTAAAAGGAGCATTTCAATGCAGAATTTATTAACTATGCATGATGGAGAAGTAAGAAGCAAGGGGTCTTGGATTAGGAGTTGGGAGTGCTCTATGATGGCGTGTTTCACCCCTGGGGATCCACCAGGTCCCTTTAGTTCTCCCCCTTCTCCTTTCTTGGGTTTCAGTGCCCATGTGACAGCAGGTCTCCCAGGGCCTTCTGTCCTCCAGGTTTCCTGAATCCGTGAACCATTACCATTCCTCATCTTCTGCTTCCTACTCTGGCTCCATCCCTCTCCCCAGTTCTTCTCTCCCTGTCTCTTCTGGTGTCAGGATTCTGGGGTGGGAAGAGAGCCTGCTGGACTGGTATCCTGGTCTTGGATTTTGGGAGCCAGGTGTGGGGAGGAGGAGACAGCTGGGTGTAATGAAATGGGCTTCCTAGAGGACTCTTCAAAAGTTGGGGGAAAGATACCCACCTGATTCTGAGCCTCTGAGCCTCAGGCAGGTTATTTCGCCAGGCTATTACCAAGGTGATCTCCAAATCTCAGTTGAACCAAAAAAAGGGCCTAGGCGTCTCAGTTATCCTGGACCCACAGGAATGTTAATCTCTCTCAGTAGGGCCCTGGGAGGAGATTTCTTCATTCCAAACATTCTGGTTTGGTTTGCAGCCATCTTCCCTCCCTACCTGCCGCACCCAAGGACTCCGGAAAGCTCCTCACCTGCTCTTTCATTCTTATGGGCTTTCTTTCTGTTGGCACAGCTGTCTGGAAAGCCTCCCACCCTCACTGCCACCTGCCATTTGGGCATCTCTGGTCCTCCTCATTCTTCAGCTGAAACTGCTCTGCCTTTCTGTAGAAGGTACTCGTCTTCTTCCACCTCCACCCCAGGCACAAGTCATTGCTCTCTGTTCTGGGCCCCTGCAAACACCCTTGCTTCCCTCTGTCACAGTAAATCGCTCCATTACAGTGGTTCACCTTCGCTCCCACCAGCCTTTGTGGTTTTCGAAGATGGGAAATGACCGGTCCCCGTCTGGGCCCCAGCAGCCGGCCCAGGGCCTGGCACTGAGTGGTGCTTGATAAAGGATGGATGGATGGAACAGAGAACCAGAGAGGGGACAGTCACTAGTACCAAGGTTTCAGAGGGTGCATGCTAATTTGGTCTTCTCATTAATTCCTCATATAAAGTCATGATTTTGGGCAGTTTTCCTCCAAGATAGAATTGTTCTTAGCAAATAACCCTATTCGGATGATCCACTTATTTAAATACTTGGGCATAGATACAGTTAATATGTCTCCAGGAACCCATGTTTTTTCAGCAATGGCCTAAAGGCCCCACTTACCAAATGTGAGGTTCATACAGGACTGGCGCTGGGCTACCTGGCTTCTAATAGTCTGATCCTGGCCGTAAATGAATCCACACCCCCTGCTTTGGGGCAAGACAGGTCCTGGGGAGGTTGGAGGTTGGAAGGTGTGGGGAGCCAAGCAGACCTTGAGTTTCCATGTGAATCAAGTACCCTGACAAGGAGTAAATTGAGGTCTGTTGCTCTCTAGCACTTCCTTGCACCAGCCTTGCGGGCATCGCTTGGTGGGCTGAGAGGGCTGGGCACAAGTGGATTGAATGAGACTCTGTGTGGCTTAGCATGAGGATCACCAATGTGTTTCCTCGCTAAGGCTGTCTCAACTTGATTGATAGTGACTGCCTGGCTGCTGGTTTCAGGATGGCACCAGGCTGTCCCACTCAACTAGGCTTAGCAGGAAGGAGTATTGAAGTTAAATAGTAATGTCTGCCACAGGAGTGAGAGGGGAGAGCAGTGCTGTGTGCCACATCGCTGCCACCCCTGCTTTCATTTCTGGCCGACTACAGGCTTTGGAGTCTGGATGATTTGGTGAGCCTCAGTTTGTTCATCTCTGAAATGGACATGTATTAGTTAAGTCCAGGCTCAGCTGCTGTAACAAAAAAGTCTCCAAGTACCGTGGCCTAAAACAATTTGGAAGTTTATTTCTCTCTCACATTCTCAGGTGAATAATCCAGAGGCAAGGGAGTAGTTCTGAGTTGGTGGGGCAACTCTGCCACCCTCAGCACATCGTTTCTGCCTGTGAAACCAAGGTGGCTGCTCTAGTTCTTGTCTTTTCCCAGTCAGAAGAAAAGAGAAACTGGACCAGGGGAAACTGAGTCATACCAGTCAAAGGTATGACTCAGAAGCTGCCCATGTTATTTCTTGTATCCTGTGTAGGCAGAAAGTTCACTTGGCCACACCCAGCTGTAAGCTTGGCTGGGAAATGTAGTCTTTAGCTGGGGAACCACGTGTCCGGCTAAAATGCTGTTGAACAGAAAATGAGAAAATGGGAGCTGAGGTGACGTGACCCAGAGGACGATGCTGGCCCCTCTCAGGGCTGTCAGAGCTGGTGAGAGCATGTGCCTCGCCTCTGGCACCTCACAGGCCTTCCCCAACCTCACAAGGCACTTCCCTGTCCCACCCAGGAGCTGGTGAGGATCCTGCACAAGGCGCTGGAGGCCGCCCAACAGGAGAAGAGGGCATCCAGTGCATACCTGGCGGCAGCCGAGGACAAAGACCGGCTGGAGCTCGTGCGGCACAAAGTGCGGCAGATCGCGGAGCTGGGCAGGCGGGTAGAGGCCCTGGAGCAGGAGCGGGAGAGCCTGGCACAGACCATGAACCTGCGGGAGCAGCAGGTGCAGGAGCTGCAGCAGCACGTGCAGCTGCTCATGGACAAGAACCAGGCCAAACAGCAGGTCATCTGCATGCTGTCTGAGAAGGTCACCTGGGACTTCACGCAGACCCCTAACCAGCCCCCCAGACCTCCAGATGCTGCTGACAGGGACCTCCTGAGCCAGCAGGAGAAGATGGAGCACCTGAAGGTACGGGCCCCTCCTTCCAGGGCCCTTGGGGAAGGCACTGCTCTCGACCTAAATGGTTTTCTAGATAAAGCAGGGATAACCCTTAATTCTGGAATGTTCATATTTGATAGATGTTGGTGGAAATATTGCTACACACTTCCTCACTTCCTTAACAAGAAGGCCCAATGCGATTTGACTTTTCATGTTATCTAAGGCTGGTATCCAAAGAGAAGTTATCTCTAGATTATCAAATTGGAGATGAAAGAACCCAAGGTGGAGCCCAAGTCAAACTCCTGAGTGCTAGCCCAGCGAGGTCTGGGGCCTGGTCTGGTCAGGCTCCTTTAATGGCTCACTGATGCCCTTGGGAGCCCCCATGGTTCCAAGGCAGCCCAGCCCCAGCAGTCCCCACGTAGTGCGGGTCACCTGTGGCCGGCTGTGACTTGCTCATAATGATGGCATTAGTCACCACTTTATACACTGTTTACCATCCGGCAGGTTCTGTCCTAGGTGCTTTACCTGCATCATTGCATTTCATCCTTGTACCAGCCCTATAAGGCAGTCAGTTGTGTGCTCCCTACTTTACAGATAGCGATCCTAAGACTGAGGAAAATGAAGCTACTTGCTTGCCCAGGGTCGTGTACTGAGGAAGTGGGGGAACAGGAATTGGGTTGGAGCTCCCGTCTCTGACTAGTCTGTCTGCTCTACTAACTTCTAGCCACTGCTACCATCCCTGCCTCCCTCTCGCCCAGGCTTGTGGCTCTGACTTGGGAAAGGCTGCCCCAGCCCACAGGGACCAGTTGCAGCACAGGGGGCAGGTGTGATGCCTGCCGTGGACTAGAGTGTCCTCTGTAAAAGGTGGAGACAGGAGCTGCCAGACTGCCTAGAGGCCTGAGACTGGTGACAGTCACTCATAGTCCCACTGACTGTTGTCCCTAAAGGCAGTCATGTAACCAGGACCAGTCCTGCCCCAAACCCTGCCACTCGCAGCCACACAGGTATACATACATATACCCATGGGAACTGCTGTGCTGCTGTACCAGAGAACTGCTATTGGAAGAGGGGGAAGGAGAGAGGAAAAAAGAGAAATCCAGAAGCTTTCGAGAGACCAATGGGCAGGGTGGTACAGTGGCCACTGCCCAAGCTCTGAAGCCAGGCAGACCTGACTGCCAGGCTCTGCCTCTTATCAGCTGTGTGACCTCAGGCAAGTTATCTCACCTCTATATTAAACTGCCTAACCACTCCTGCTCACAGGAGGATAAAGAAAGGTACCGTGAAACCCACATCCCCTTCCCCTTCTTTCAGTATGAAAAACCACATAACCAGTCTCTGAGTCTTTTTCCTTAAAATCAGATTTGAGTTCAAAATGAAAACAAAATCCTTTCCAATGCAGATGTAGCTCGGTTGTTAGAAGACTCTCAGTCCTTCGTACGGCAGTGAAAATGGCGTCCCGCAGATTGCTTTCCTGTCCTGCTCTACCCAGCTGAGTGTCCTCTCTGTGCCTGTCCTGCTGGAATCCACTGTTGGGGGGTCAGAGAATTAGACTCACAGGGTGCCTCCAGACTGCCCCCAGAAAGCTGACTGGAAGCCAGGACTCACCTAGGAGATGGAAAGTGCCCCTGAATTTGCATGTACAGGAATTTAATTTATCAGCAATCCCAGCTATGAGGAGACTCTGGTTATGATCCATATCAACCAAATTTACGTTTGCAGCTGATCTTTGTAGGCTGGGTGTTTTGTGCTAGAAAGAGTTGCATGTACTAGGGTTCCTTATTGGTTAGCCTTAGGTGTCTGATCTAGAAAAAAATAGAAGACCCATGAAAAATCCTTTGTCCAAGTTTGGGACAGAGTTTGTTCGTGTTTCCTGCTTGCCCTGTGATTGAGGACAGCCAGCTTTCAGGAACTGGGAAGACTCAGCGATCTAGTCCACTCCCTCATTTTCTGGCAGGGACAGCTGAGCTCTGGAGAGGGGAAGGGACTGGTCCAGGGTCACACATCACAAGCAGCAGGGTCGTCGCAGCTAGACCCCAGGTCTCCCCACTCCCAATCCCCTGCCTTCCCCATTAGCACATGGGCTAGTCCACGCAGCATTCCCCAAAGAGATTTCCCCAGTTCCTGACCCCTGTGAAGGCAGGCAGGCAGGCAGGCAGACTCTCTAACTCCTGTCTCTTTTCTCCAGTTGTATTTTCCTCCTTCGCTTTACTGGTGGCTGTCACGTGGCTTCTCTCTCTTCTGAGGTCTGTCTTTTTCCTCCCTACAGTTCTGAGCCAAGAAGAAGCCTCGAGGTAGGGCGATGAGCGGAATGGGAAGGTGCTGCCCAGATGTCCCCCCCACCCCACACCCACTGGTGCTCCAGAGGTGCTCACCCCTCCCCTCCCTCCCTGGGCAGGAAACGGGGTACCCTATGCAGCATGTCCAAGGACCTGGCAATGCCAGTGAGTACCTTCTGAGTCTGGGATGAGAACAGAGGGATGGTAACAGGAGGCAGAACCAGCTGGTAGGTCAGCGCAGTGTCCAGCCACGGACTCTGATGTCCTTTTACCCGGCAGTAGTTCTCCGTTCCTACCGTGGACTGAACATACCTGGGTTTGAGTCCTGCCTGTCTCCATACCAGCTGGGTGACTGAGGAGAACTTAGCCTTCTCTGTGCTTGTTTCCTCACCTATCAAGGAGGAATGATAGTACTTTAATACTTAGCTCACAGCACTGTGGTCAAGATGAAATCACATTCAATAATGAATGTGAAGGCAACGGGCCTGTCACATAGTAGGAACTCAGGCAGGCAACTGGTAGTTCTTCTCCCCCCTTGCCTGGAGGCTTGTTCATTTTCCCAGGCATTTGGGAAGGATTCACAGTAGCAGCCATGGGAAACCTCCTCTCAGCAGGCGGAGGGGGTGCTCAGTGGGTAATAGGAGCCCTCAGAGATGTGAGAACTCAGTGACGGAGGAGACGCTTGCCCTGCGCGTGCCGCATGCCAGCCACCATTCTAAGCCTTTTGCACATATTAACTAATCAGTTCCTCCTGATAACCCCTGAGGTGGTACTATTATTATTCCCATTTTCCAGGTGAGGACACAAAGCATAGAAAGGATGAGTAACTTGTCCCAGAGCTCTGTGGTGAAGGCAGGACTTATATCCAGACCACCTGGCCTGGAGTCCATGCCCTGACTGCCAGGAAGCGCTGGACTCGGACAGCAACTGCGTCTTTGACGTGCTGTTATTATACTGCTGGGTAGGAGAAGTCAGACAATTCTGCTTACATTCAGCCAGATGCCTGCCAAGGATAGCCTTGAAGGGTGGGATTCCAGCGGGGAGGGAGTTTTGAGTGTCCAGGCAGTAAATGTGGGTAGGACTTGGCTTTAGAATCAGACAGACCTGGGTTCTGCCACACCCTGCCTTGTACCAGCTCTGTGACCTCAGGCAACTTATTCATCCTTTCAGAGCCTCTGCGACCTCATCTGTGTTATTCTGGGATGCTGGGAGGATAAGATGAGATAATGTGCTCAGCATGGGGATGGGGGTAAGGATGACGGTGCAGGGAGCCTCCGTACCCACTGTGTTCATGAGTTCTTTAAATTTCCACACATTAAAGTGTATATAAGACTTGGGAGCAGGGAGTGGTCCTGGAAAATCCTGATGGTCCCAGGAGGTTGGTCCTCCTCATGCTGCAAACAAAGATTCACACCAGTCTCACCACACTCTTCCACATAAGGATAAGGAAGTGACGGACTTGTGGCCCTCCCATTATGTCAGCCATTTAGGCAGAAAGCAGCAGACTCTGAACATGAGTTGGAGCTTCTGGGCTGGGAGGGATCTTGGCCAGAATGAAGACCCAGGCAGGAAGGGTCCGGATAGGCTGTGAGCTGTACACAAGTGACCCTTCCCTGACAATGAAGCGTCACAGGTTAGGTGCAGTGTTCTTAATTTCCAGATAAATCAGGGCTTATCCAAAGTCATCACTGCAATAGTGTCTCTCTCACTCACCTTCCTACAGCCCAGTACATTTTCTTGAGTGGGAAAGAAAGGAGTTGAGTTTCAGCTAGTAAATGCCCTGGGATTGCTAGGGATTGCTGTGAGCGTGTGTTGTCCATTGCTTCTGCAAGATCCGTCCAAGCAGAATACAGACAGAGCCACTGCTGCGGCTGCTCCTTTCTGAGCTCAGCTCAGGCTCCCGCTGGAACCCCCCCAGTGCTTGGACAGCTTCTCCTTGCGGGCCCCAGCAGCAGGATCGTGCGCCCCCCACTGGACAGCTTGCAAAAGGAAAACTCTAGGCTCCCAGATGTGCATCACAGCATTATTCAT